GGCGCAAACTTCACGAAGAATGTTCCTCCAGCCAACAGCGGTCATGTGGCTAACAGATAATTCCTCTGAGCAGAATTTGATTTTTTTCATAAACATCTCGTGCTTTTGGGGGTGTGAGGATGTTCTTCAGAAAAAACTCTGGTGGGACTGGTAGATGCAAAATCTGATACACCTGAGAAGCTAAACCTTGGTGAAATGGGACTTTTGATAGACCTGAGCCCGAATCTTTAGTGCTGAATGACGGTTTAACCTGAGGATGCTAGCTAGCTTTGAGAGGTAGTAAATCCAGAAACGCATGAGCAAATATATCATATTTTTGCAAGTTGTTTTGACCTCATCACTGACATTTACCTGCCCCACATTAGCCGTCTTTCGAGTCAAGGACAAAGGTGAGTTGTGATTTGATGGCATATAACGAATACGCTTTGCAATGATGCGGAGACCTCGTGAGAGGTATCCGGTTTCTTTTCTCGTTCACTAACGGAATATGAGTCTGGCTATTGAAGTAACCTTCAGAAGGGTTCAACTCATATAGATTTTAAAACCAAAAGTGCAAAGTTTCTGTTTTGGAGATTTTTCCAATTTAACGGCGGTTAAAAACGTACTTTTACGCTGCAACTGACTGGAACTTTCTTGGCTATTGAGCGTGGAGCGTCCAATTTGGTGATGCTGCGTTTGAAGCCGTCAAAGTATCAACCTACACGCATAAAGCCGGCGTCTCCCGGGAGGGGGGGGGTACTCAAGGTATCATCAGTCACCTGGCCTTAGAAGCTGCAGTCGCTCATTCGCTTAAGCATGATAAGAAATTGAGTGAAAACAACGCAATCGATCATACGTCCAAAGCCTCGGTCACTTCCATTCATTATGTAGAAAAATCCAAAGTTCAACAGAAAAACGTGAAAGCGGTGTTTGATTTGAGGACTCTGAAAGGACAGGTTTCAATCCCGCTGAGCTACTTAGACAAGCGATAAACGCGCGAAGAAATTCACAGCCTTGCTAAGCTGGATGTCTACGAACAGTGGTCAACCGTGCCTTGCGTCTCCGTGTTTCACGGTAGATAGTGCTTTGTTGGTTCAATAAAAGGCTTGCATCGTAAACTCGGATTGACGCTTTTTTCCAGTACAGAATATCCATCAGAGTTGATTGGCTTTTCATGAAAGATGATCCGGTAATCTGGAAAGTGGGCAAAAGGTTACGAAACAAAATAGTGTAACTGTTACTTCAAAACAACAGGTACCTGGGACAAGGAATTGTTCAGAGGAATAACTCCTGATTAGTTTTCGGACGAAGATTTCCAGACATATTATTTTTAATCAACCGTTTCAAATTCCCGCCAGCTGACGGCCAAAGCAAGCCATTTCTGTGGTTGTTCATCGGCTTCCTCACCAACCGCGGAGACAGCATCGCCGTCTCTTGACCATGCCTTCTCGTTTGATGACAGAACGTTTCCAAACCAACTGACAACACCAAAAGCGGACATATCGGGCTACCAGTGAAACGAAGAAGGTTTTTACCAACTGACCAGTTACAGACTATTAGGCAGGGAAGCAAAACTCTCATATGCATCTTGTTTACAAAACTTGAATATCCATCTTCTCTGTGAACGCGTCTTTCTGTACCTTCCTGGATACTCATTGACTGTTGCTCGAATCCAAGCAAATGACAAAGCGATTCCACAAATTCCGCAAAAGATCTCCCATTTCAAGAGACGCAAAGCGAATTCACAAGAATAAAAAATACTACTCGCGTGACTCCCCATCAGTAGTATCACCGTTACACCAGTAGCAAAACAAATCAAACGTAACTTGAACAATTCCTCAAAGCTTACACATAAGTTCAGTTCGTAGGATACAGCTTGACCTGATGGGTAAATTCAGCTTCCCTTGTAATTCAACTCGTAAGTCACTCAGGATGTGAACTCTTGTTTTTTTCGTTTCAGCTTACGAGAGGACCTGCCTGAAGATGAAGAAATCAAAGGAGAGGAAGACGACGAGGCTTGTTCGGCTTCCTATCTATCAGTCCCGTAAGTCCATGCCAGCTGGTACCTCGGTAAAAAGCAGCACAAAGCCCTTACCGCACCATTTTTTGCATTTGATGATGAAGTGCCTGCCCCACTGGCCACCCAGCATTGGTGGGGGTTTCAGTCACTATCTGGCTGTGCACCATGCGGGATCATCTCACTGAAAACTTCTTCCCACCTTGTCATTAGTCGATAAACATCTTTGACTGATGTAATGTGGGGGCGGAAGCAACATGTGCCTCAGTCGGTCGTTTCAGTCAGCCCTGACATCTTGCCGGATTATTTAAATTTTTCGATAAGTAAGGTGGTTCCCAACACAGACCACCGGAAGACCATAGCCATTGTGTTCCCTACGGAATTTTGATCAGATTCTCGAGTGGCTGTCAGTTCGGTTGTTTAATTTGATAAGAAACCTTTCCCATCATTTTCTGTTTATCTACTCACCTTTAGAGCCATAGTTCTCGACCAATCGGCAATAGAAATGAGCTCCTTCCAAGGTTCTAAATTACCATTTTCTCTTGTGAATTTCCACTTATCTAAGCAGGTACTGTTTGATACTTTCCATGGCCTTGAAACAAGGCTGCATTGCTGGACATTCTCTGTTTGATCTTCCTCTGAGGTGTTTTATTGATCGTCCTGAGGTTTATCACTGCTTGAAGAATTCGATCTATGGTAAAGTACTAGAAACATCTTTGATTAAAAAAACTGGTGACAAATAGGTCATTTGCCAGATCCCCTCTTGCTGCAAATAACTGTGCAATAGAGGTCTATCTCTGTTATATCTGCTGATTCGTCAATCTGTGGTATCTGCTGCTGACCCGCTCCAGTGCCTAGTGTCGGAGAGAAAAGACTCACAGAAGGGAACACAACAGCTGTATTCCGAACAAGCGAGTGAGTGAGAGAGCAAAAGTTACAACGGCCCCACGCTATTTAAAGGGGACTTTCTGACATTGATCCAGACTGTCTGATAGGCGTTAGTGAACACCCATCAACATCGATCGTGCCTCTGTGAAAAGCCTGAACGCTGATCACATTCGGTCGTGCTTCTGTGGCCGCAAGAACACTCATCAGGTCTTGCTGAATCGATTGAATGATTGATTGGCCTGGATGCTTGCCGGCTTTCCAGTTGAGTTTTTGGTGGAGCAGTAGGTTCCGGGCGTTCTGAAGTTGCTTTCAGGAATCTGACCTTCCTGATAATCTCATAAACATGTCCGTTGAGGAAAATCACAACCGGGGTATCTCACACAGAAAGAAACTAACCGGAATTCACACTTCTGGCATTTTTCACTGTTATATCTGCTGATCCGCCAATCTGTGGTATCTGCTGCTGACCCGCTCCGGTGCCTAGTGCCGGAAAAAAAGCCTCACAGAAGGGAACACAACAGCTACATTCCGAACAGGCGAGCACGAGAGCGTGAGTGCGCGAAAGCATGAGCGCGTACGAGTGCGAAAGTACAACGGTCTCAAGCTATTTATTGGACGAACACTGTCTAACTCGGTCCATTGCTGACGTACGTGGTCTGGCTTTGGTACGAGGCTGCGACGCGCTGCATATTGCGGGGGCGTTGTCTGAACTTGACCGACGCTGACTTGCGCTGCCTGGGCTTAATAGAAGGCTGTGACGCGCAGCCTATTGCGGGGGCGTCGGCTCAGCATCTAGCGGAGCTGAGGGTCTCAGTAGACTTCGGGCACTCGGTGGTTGCTTTCGGGAAGCTGAACTTCATGATATTCACCCTATGATTATGGGTAGGGTGTGGCCAAGTGTGTGAACTGAGTCAGTGTGAAATTAAATGCCAGTTGGGACAGGCCGAAGATACGTTCGATGTGACCTTCATCAGTTGATTCTGGCTCAGTACAGTAGGACTGAATGCAATAGGAGAACAGGAGAGTGCAAATGAACTGAGTGCATTGTATCGTCCATTAAACCAACTTTATTTTGGCACATCCGTATAACGCTTGTGGGCTGAATTCTGGCGAAATAAGCGAGTTCAGAACCACCTGTCAAAATCAATGACGACTTGCCAGTCCCCACTGATCGGGAGTTTTCTGGTGCCTGTAAACGCAAAATTGTTCTTCGATGAACTTCCCAAGATGAGGGGGTTGATTTCCAGGATAAAACAAGATAAATACTCACAAGAGGAGCAATAATAGTTCACCTGTCTTGTTTCCATGGTCACTGAAGAGACAAGGCAAGAGTTGACAAATTTTCATCGATTTCTACCAACTTCCCAAGGGTTTCTCGTACTTGTTCATGTATTTGAAACTCCGTTGCGCTGGAAAGTATTGTCCTCCTTATGCCAGTGTTTGTCACAATCATCCGGTTCTTCTCTGGTCCTGATAACTTGAACACCATGCAAGTACATCCGATTCCGGTGGCTCCTGGTTCATCAATTCAGTTCAGCGGTCGAGCTAGTCCGTGAGTTCTGCTTATCCGAGCCCGCGCCACACCAAGGCTTTGCAGACCGATGCCTACACCTGTCACACCCATGTAATAATGATGGGCGACTCTGTTGGTCACACTGTGTTCTCTTCGTCTTGCAGTAATGGGCTTTCAGCAGAAAAGTGCCTCATGGTCAAAAAGCGAAGAGTAACCTTGGTAGAAAAGAATGAACTGAACCTGTTGTATTTCTTCACCTGCCCTGACGCTACTGGGTTATAGTCATATTTGGTGTGACTAGATCATAGGATTCCATCAGTGGGCTTACCACATAAATTATGCACCCATACAACTTCTTTAATGTCACAGGAGAGGTCAAGTTCAAAGCAAATATAACCGCTTTTTGCCCGAGTGCTCGCTATCTGGGTTACTCACTGTCATCGTTTAACTTTTATTCCTCAAAAGGTACACCGAAGATCGGTTTCCGACAGGTGGGGATTCGGATGAAGAAGATGAGGCCAAAGGGAGGACTGGCGAGAATCCCGTACTCCTCCTCTGTCATTCTTGTATGGATCGAACTCGGACCGCATGTCAAACGATGTGGACGTGAGTATGAGTTTGTCGTAGCATTGGGAGAACAGGAGTGACTCGGGAATTTGTAGTGTGGTTTCTCACTGATTCAATTGGGGTTGACACTCCTTTGTTGCATTTGGTGCCTGGATTCTCGGGCTAGCGAGAGACCCACACACACTGGAATGGATTCTCGATTGAATTGAGAATTCTGATCACAGAATCCATCTCGTCTCGCGAGCGTACCAACAGACACATCAATCATACTGTCCAGCGGATCAACTGCTTTTTTCATGTTTACTAATTTTGTTTTTCAAAATGTGTTGAATGGCAGTGAAGTTTCTAATATCACAGTAGTCTCTGAAGGTTCAATTTCTTCTCGGGAAGTCGAATTGTGATATCTTTCCCCATTTCATTTCCTCTCCATTGAACTGCTCTGAGAAGTTCTTCATTTCGGAAGATCCTATTGCCAAAATGTCTTGAGCAGTTTGGAGATTCCAACAGATGTATTCCATTAGTCTGTTTGTCAAAGCACACAGGAAGAACTTCGCTACACTTCCCCGGGGTTGTATGCCATCAAACATGGTTTCTTTACAACATTCCGTGTGCTATCTTCAAACATGTGCACTTAGATGGAAATGTAATAATCGACCAATCAAATGTCCCGTGACATGTGCATCCTTCAGATGACTCGCAATCTGCCTATGTTAGTGAAATGCCATTTTTCGGTCCCGAACTAGAGGAACTAGCGCATATTATTAATACACTACTCGCAAGGTTGCTGAAAACTCTTGGACAATCCACGACCGGTTTCGCCCTTCTTGGGGCTCAGCAGGTAGGCACAGTCCCCGAGTTACCGTTAACCCAATTTGCACGAAATTAGGGAAATACACTCATTTGCAAACTAATTTGGTTTTTCGAAAGACTCACCTGGAACCCAGCTGAATCTCTCGTTTGTGATGTTTGGGTAGTTGTTGCAAAACTAATAATTTTCAAATCTTGTTTGCAAGCAGATACCTCAGCAACGGGCTGGGATCGATAAGCATGTCCCCCCTATCTAATTGTGGCACTGCAGCAACAACTCAATCGACCTGCACGAACATCAGCTCAGTTGTACCACATCGACAGTCGCGGAAGAATCAAAGACATTTATCCGTAGATCACGTACATGTGGCCGCGAACAATCAGCTATACGGTAACTCATCATATCGCTCCAAAATGCGGGTAACTGGGAGTAAATATTCCCACATCTCTGTTTCGTGATTGTCCGCCTGGTGAATTTTACAGCTAAATTTCAGTTCATCGTGTTTCCTACTTTTACCCATGTTTTGTCATCACCCTATAGCAAATGTCACGTGATGAAGATGCCAAAGAAAGTGTAAGTCACGCGCCGGCATGCCTAGCTCGGTAATTTTGGTCCCTATCGGTAGATTGTTCGTACTTGTTCTGGTGAATTTACAGCTAAGTTTCAGTTCATCGTGTTTCCTACTTTTACTCATGTTTTGTCATCACCCTATAGCAAATGTCACGTGATGAAGATGCCAAAGAAAGTGTAAGTCACACGCCGGCATGCCTAGCTCGGTAATTTTGGTCCCTATCGGTAGATTGTTCGTACTTGTTCAATTTCTCCTGTCATGGTTGCAAAGTTGAGCAGTTATGGCTCCCGCAAAGCAATCTGGGAAATGCGTAGGTGTCGCATAGATATTGCTCCAGCTGGTTAGGTGGCAACTCCGTCCAACTAAATGATCTCTGAATTCGAGCAGATCATTTTTGTGGAATCCAGGACGCAAATTGACTAACAGTAACGTTTTCGCGATTCTGGTGGACGCAGATCGAAGGATTACAAGCGATTTGTCGGTGCAAGAGAAAAGATGAAAACCTCAGTTCGTACGTAAAAGTGTGAAAACTTTTCAGGGCATGGTCAACTAGTCCGAGCTGCCAGTGGACGCATGAGCGGGCCATGGAAGACCCAATGCATGTACGAAAGCCTTGTGAATGCACAGACTCGGATCGATTGAGTGAATCAACAATGCCTCACCTGCGATTAGACACTGATATGGAACGGATCTTGGTAGTTAGATAGATGCGAAAAGTCAAGCCCCGCCACATTTTGCCAGCTCCAATTTAATTTAAGCACACAAAATTGGCCTGTTTTTTTATTAAAACAATTCCTTATCTACATCTAGGCTCATTTTGTGCAAAAACGTTCTCCGTTGGGACGTAAAACCTTAAATAAACTTTCTGACGCTTTCAACATTCGTTCACGACAGGGAGACGACAATACGTTTTTTGCAAAGCCACGGAGTGATCCATCAGCAATGTTTATGTAACAATGACCAACAAATGACACTTTCAAATGTTTCTGACGGGTGGATGTGTAATGCTCGACAGTGTCGGCATGAAATCGGTCTTCGAAAGGGAACTTGGCTGGAGCGGTCTAGGATGGAGTTTAGGACAGTAATTCTATTCATTTATTGTCAAAAATCATATTCTGCTCAGAGGAATTACCTATTAGCCACAAGCCTTTTGTTGACTGGAAGAACTTTCTTCACAAAGTTTGCACCCGGTCAATATTATGCAACCGGATTGACATTGAAAGAATGATGACGATGGAATTCTGTTGGTCTTAGGATGCTTCCACCATTCCGTTTGTTGAACATTCCTTTTTTGAGCATACTGATATTCAACCTGGTGTTTTCTGAGTAAATTGACACCAATACCTGTTTATTCGCACATTCAGGAAACGCCAGAAGACGAAACCACCAAAAACCATGTGAGTTGCACTCATTAAGTTACTCGTCCTGAGGCATGTCCTGATCAGTGGTTTCTCATTGGTTAGGTTGCGAGTGGACCGTTTGTCCTTGTTTTCTACTGGTTCAGCTCCCGTCGCCATAATAGCAATGCTCAGCACCCTCACGTGACCAGCATCTCGCACTAGTGGTAGACTTCCCTGATTTCGTTGTTAGCGCAAATGGAATGCTCGATCGTTCTCTAACATAACTGCCATGTAAAACAAAGCTACTTCGGGAACCAATAGGTGTTGTATAGACCGTATACACTAGAACTCGATGCCGAAAGAGAGGTCCCAGACGGGAAGTGGTGCTTCTTTCCAAAAAATTGAAATTCGCATTCCAAGAGACCTAATTCGTGTGACAGGATTATCGAAAGATTATCTGAGAACGGTTGACCAACGGTCGATATTTTCAGGAAAGATCACTGTGATAACCGTGCTACAGTTCAAACTGTCACGGTCAGATGTGACAGCAAATTCATTCAGACAAGATACTGGGTAATTTCCTGATGATAGCGAATCGGCTAGCCGGATGGTAGCCCAGACATATTCTGGTACCTGCAATAGCGAAGAGCTGGTAACCTAGATGAGAATGTGGCGAAATTCTTCGGAACGCCGGAAATCGCATCGCATCCATTAAGCAGCATTAAACGGAAATCAAATGAAAACCAAACGGGAAGTAGAGAGATTTTCAGTCCTGATTTGGACGGTCCTGGGTGCAACAATAGGTCGTCAAAGCTGACCTAACACTACCATACTTAATTTGATTAACCGTCAGTCCGGGGTCGAACCATGGAAATTCTTCTTTCGGTCCGTTTTAGTTTACTTGAGTCGAAATAACCACAACAGTGCATGGACAAAGTAACTCCTAATGAGCAGGAACCGCCTGTCTTGCAGGAGCTGTTTTGATAAGGTTCGTTTCGGTCGATGATTAGGAAGGCGTGGGGAAATTCGGGAACTCACTCCAGAGCCTTTCACAATGTCAACACATGTCACTGACAGTTAGGAAGCTGAATACCTAACTGGAGTGAGTCACAAAATTGAAGACACAGTAAGAGTTATTCCACAAGTGCGAATGTGTGCAATCAGTCGGTTTGGGAATGCACGTTATTGGCCAATGCACGAAGCACGTGACTTTGAACAATCACCAGACGAGAGGCAGGACTGCCCCTCTGATATGGGTATCTTTCAACGAAGGTTTCAAACTAGACCTACTGACCCCTTCTAGGATTGAATACACACTGAAGGGATCGTTTCCCAAAACTAGTATATCGTTACTCCAATTCTGATCATCAAGTTTTTAACGTATTTATGACCGTAAACTGTTTCTTTGACCCATTTGGCCGGACTTGTGAATAAACAAGGGAAAACAATCGCACATTACTCATCTTTGTTGGCCAACATCAGCGAACTGCCGCTAACATGTGCTTCATTGACCCGGTAAGTGTGGAGCACATAAAGATGAGTTTGGAATGCCACAATGACTCTTAAAATCCCAGAAGCTCTGCATTCTTGTTCGGGACGATATGGGTCTCACGATAATTCTGAAACAGTTTGCACTCAATCGCGCGTAATTAAAATTAATAAATTGCTTTTATTCACTTCGTGGGACAGAGGGATGGCAGATATTGTGGGATTTTAATATTTCTTCTCCTATCCTCATTCATGATAGATAAAACAGGCAAATCAAATGGTCGCACAGCGTCGAAGAATGCCCGATGACCGACGAACGTTCCCGGTACTTTTTCACCCATCAGTGAGATGACAAGGTGATAATATGCTAGACTCAAAGGGGATTTGACTACCACTTTCGAAAATATTTGGTAACAATCGATAGCTTTATTGCTGCGCGACGTTTCGCTTTTGACACATTAAATCTCGACCAACCCCGTCACTTGGCCTGACGAATCTTTTGTGCCAAAAGCGAAACGTTACCAAGCAATAAATCTACCGATTGTTACCAAACTTTTCCGAAGACGATCACTACTCAATCGGTTCCAAGCGGTTTTCATCTGATTTATTTGACTATGCGTTTTTACACAACCATGAGTCAAGTGTTCATTGACAGGAACAAATGTAGTCTGTAGGCTTCACGTGGTGTTCCATTGTTCTCAGTTGAGTTGTGAACCTTATCGATGATCTTGAGTTTCGTGAACCGATATTCTAAGGTTCGGAGATGAGTGAAGGCGTTTACTTCTGGTCCTGGTGGTTTGTGACTCCATCGCTGAAAAAAGTGTCCAAGATACCAGACGCAACATGTCCAACAGTAACCCGACTTCAGTGGAGATGGGTTTCATGTCTGCCTTCATCCTTTGCTTAATGAGATAGCCAGGAATACGTAAGGGACGAGTGAATCAGCTGGGGGTCAGATTCAAATTCGATATCTATGCTACTGAAATTGAAATAGCAAGTAGTACCGATCATTTAAGTAGGGCGCCGTTTTTCAATTCGTGCGATGAAACACAGCTTGTGGTGTGTCGGCCCAATAGTGTTTGCAAAGACAGTTAATGGGTGCTGGAGCTCTTGGCCCTTTGTGACCGTCGGTGAAAAACCATTCCAATCAAGTTATTTCCAGAAACTGAATAAATAACTCAACTGGAACTCATTTTATCACCTCTCTTGTATATCTCTCTGGATCTCACGCACCATCATTATCGTCATCCGAATCATCATCATCACCGTCATCATCACCATCATCCGAATCATCTTCATCATCATCATCAGCATCATCATCATCATCGTCATCATCATCATCAGCATCATCATCATCATCGTCATCATCATCATCAGCATCATCATCATCATCGTCATCATCATCATCAGCATCATCATCATCATCGTCATCATCATCATCAGCATCATCATCATCATCGTCATCATCATCATCAGCATCATCATCATCATCGTCATCATCATCATCAGCATCATCATCATCATCGTCATCATCATCATCATCAAAGACAGCAACATCAATGTTGGCACTGGTGCTTCACTGCCTTATGGATGTCACCACCAACGGTGATTAACAAATTTTTGGCCAGCTTGCATCCAACTCTGTCCCACTTTTTCTGTTTGTATTCTCCCAGACAACCTATCGCTCTTGAACCAATGGCACCCACTGCGTAAGTACCATGTTGTTTAACTCTGTCGGCAACTGTGAACTCACAAACGACTGGTAATGGGAACATGACAATCAGGCTGGCATCCGTTGAGCATCTCGGAGTGTGCACTTCAACAAACCGATCCTTTTCAGAGAGTTTTCACACCCACTGAATAGATGGAAAATAGTTAGAAACTGACCTGGCAGTGGAACTTATCTGGATTTCATCCCTCAGCTACTCTGTTCTGTTGAGTTGTACCCAGCATATCGTTCACAAGCAATTTATCTTGTTCAATACGGCCAAATGTAAACCACATCGTTGACCTAATTTTGTCTAGTTCGATTCCGTTCTGTTTTTACCAAGACCACCAATGATCATTCACTCACTGGGTTGTGTACGACAAAGGGAGATTGACAACGTTGCGCAAAAAGGGTTTAATGATCATCCACTGACTCTTGTTCCGTTTCTTTTTTCTGTTTGCACTTTTACCAGACAACCTGTCTCAATTGAACCATTAGCATCCACTGCGTAAGCAATGTTTTTTCTCTCTTTATTGTCTGCAATCTCATGATTTTTGCGTCTCTTCACAAACGCCCACCGATATCACAAATGAGATTCCGTTCAGACCCGATGGATAAATGTGGGCAGTTAACATGAACAGCGCCAGACACCAAAACACACCCGAAGCATTTCAGCTTCAGGTGGAAGAATGATCACCACAGAAGCAAGTACGATCGCTTCATGAACGGGGAACTCAGTCGCGCCGCTACTGCGGATAGTTCACCGACTGAATGAAATTCAATCGTTTTCTCTGAGCGTAGTGCACACAAGCACTCAAATGAGTGTGGGAAAGCCAGTGGAACCAAAAAAAACAAGACATGGTTGCACAGTCGCACCGATCGAATAGCGTTACTCCGATGTGGCTGAGTAGTGGTCATGTCAATCAAAAGTCTGGAATGTTAACCAGGTAGCTATCCTGCACACACTCACGCACACGCACCCAAAACAAACAAGTTCCAGGCTACCTACCACAGGGATTATTTTCAATCCTAGTTTTCAACCACAAATCGAGTTTCTGAGAAAATATGATGCTAAGAAATTGCTTGAGGAGGAAAGATGTGTGAAAAAATCGTTCAGCTGTAGCACCGCTTCGGTGCTCAGCTGCCATTCCACCAGAAGGAAGCACGAGCGCTGGGATACTGTCAGGTTACCCAAGCCCAAGTCGAGAGGCAGAGGTTGGGTTCATACCACGCAGTTTGCGGTCAGTAAATTCGCGCTCTAACCACTGAGTCATTTCTGTAAAGTATGTTTTCCACCATTGTAGTTTATCCTTGGTTGTACTTGGCTATTCTGATATGTTGTACGTGTTCGAGAGTACATTCAGAACTGAGCCAAGCTACGCGAGCCAACCTCCTTAGACTTGTCGTCTAACAGCTCTGCACAAGTGACGACATCTATATGGGGAGAACTGGAATCAAACTCAAGCCCCGGCCAAAAGAGCACGTCACGAGACACCTCAGCGGTCAAGACTTGGACGCACTGAGCGGAAGGCTCGTGATTTCAAACTAACCTCAGAATCTCGACTGCTCTTATCCAAGTTTGCATAGCCTCGTAGTTCATTCGGGCGGCATGGCAGCCAGACACCGAAAGTGTGCTACAGCTGAGCTATTTTTTTCACTAACGAAATCGCGGAATGTCGGGACCAATCCATTTACCGCCATTCTGCATTTGGGTACACTCTTGCTTTATTTGTCATTTACAGTTATATATATATATATATATATATATATCATACATGACCATCAGGTTAAAACTAGTAACCCAGATGACCGAGGCGTTATCAGTCGTACCCGGGATAAGGCACCGCCAGGCGACTGCACATGCAGTGCCGTGCAGAACACCGATTGCATGTCGGGGCAGTGAGACAAACTAGTCGGGCCAACCAGACGGGTAGGCACACCGATGCTGTCGATGCGCTCGCCTCTGTTAATGGCCAGTCCATATTTGGGGGTGACAGGATGTGCTTTCAACAGAAACAGCGCTAGGCTTAATGAGCGGGCATATGTTTGGAGCTATGGCTCATTCACCGCCCTCAAACCGTTACAACAATTGTGAGACCCCATTTGTTGACCAAGGTTGAGGCTGTGTAAACCCACGATGTGGGCCCAATCTGTATTCACGAAAATACCTGAGTCGGATACTTTGTGCACCCTGGCCCGTTTGACCCGGTTGCATATTGTTCGCCATCCAGTTAGAATCAACCATTTGAATTGCTGATACCGATTTGTAGGTTCATCCATTCGTCATTTACATGATGCGTATTGCTGTTGACAATACTGCACAAACCGCCTCTGCCTGATATCACTGCTGATTACTTTTCTAGCGATCTAGTTCCAGTTAATTACCTCAAGATCACAGATCGATTTTGACGGGAACTGGCACACCTTATGAACTTCCGAGCACTCGAGTACACTCTTCTTAGACTCATGTTTGATCACATCGTATCTGAGCGATCGTCCCATGTACGCTGACTGTGCAATCTCGAGGTCAGTTTGGGAGACTTTGTAGCATAACCAGCCCCATAGCCCGGATTGCCGTTCGGGTACTTTCGGGTGGCTTTTTTATGAGGACAGTAAGGGTTAACTTATCTGCTTCAACGATGACTAGCATAGCATCTAACACAGTTGGAGAACCATCCGCAACAACACCGCGAATGGCCTTCCTACTCTACAACCGAAGTTATCCCTTCGACTCTTTGAAATTGTGTAGAAGGATTACTGGGGCCAGTTGTCTGTCTGGATCACAGGATTAATATGGCTGCAGCCAGCATGGTATTTGAAAAATGCCGACTCCACTCCCACATCCCCTTCCAGCCCCGTTGTAGAGGAAGTCATGCCACCTGCGGCGAAGAGGTAAGTCACCGTTCATTTGAGATGAACTGCACGTGAGCTGCATGCACAAAGTTCACACAATATGGCATTCGCGCTAAGCCGCTCTACAGAGGGAGAGTTTTTGTGGAGCCATCCAAGAATCCACAGGAGTTTCACATTTCATCGGAACACACTACATCCTGTCGGATGTTCACGTGAAATATCGACCGGTCCCGACTGTGCACTGAATTGCCTGAAATTGCGTTCGACTGCTTCAGTCAAATGTACAGCTGGCACAGTAGAGCAAATCTACACCTGCTCAATAAGCTCGTATGTGTACTCGTCAGCACTTGTTCACAGACAGATAAAGGTTTGAAGTAAGTTGAGAAGGACATTTGGCAAAGCCGAAGGATTCGAGAAACCACAGGGCTGTCTGAATGCAAGAACCTGTTCACCAACTAATTTAGGGATCATATCTGCGATGCCACCTTTCTTTGTATACAACACTGGTGTGAGAACTTACCTAATGTCTAGAGTGATCCTTTCCACTGACTCATCACTACATTCGGACATACGTATGTGTGGTAGGACGAATCTATCGACGTATAGTTCGTTAGTACGGATAACAGGTGAAGAGGCGCAACATGGGTGAAGCCACGTATCCATGATGGCATTTGTGTCACGTGTTGATTGGTTACACTACTTCTCCACCGTTCGGGTTAGGTCAAGGCCTACATGATACCTGGACGAAATTTTCCGTCTCATGTCGGATTCACTTTTTTCACTTCTGGTAGTTCTTTAATGACCTCGTACGCAACTTCGAAAGGCGGTTGTAACATCCACTTGGCGTCCTGTATCTACTAGGTGAATCGAAACCGAAGTGGTTATGCATCGTACAAGTCTCTTTGTGAGCCAGGTTGGAAAGCGTTCAGACATTTGTTTAGACAGCCATCTTGTTGCCCTAGAGGAGCGAGAAACCTAATGGCCGTACAGCAGGCTATCCGCTGGCGAGGGCAACAGTAAATACATAAAATACAATTCAAACATGGTCGTTAGTTTCTGCTTGAAAACAAATGGCTTGCTGTGTCACATTTGCACGGCTTCAATGACACCGTAATAATTACTTGGTTTTGCATTTTTTCCCAAGAAACTGTCAGAATGTTCGTGCAACTCTGTATCGGTCCTTGGCTTCCTGCTCTGCCCACTATGGTGTATCAAAAGGCACGGTAGCTTCGGACAACCCTTTGTGGATATAAAGGGAGATTATGACAACTGCATTTATAGGATATTCACATAATGTTTCACAAAGGCGTGCTAGAATCTCCGTGAGGGTTCCAGAGGAGTCGAGCTAAAGATGCTTCATCCAGATTGGCTGGCATTCTGACCAGTCAGAGCATGCCTTCGTTTGGTCCGTAACACTCACGTGACACATCCGGGCTATTGATGGGACGTTCGTGGTTAGGGGCGGCTGACGTCCGGACAGAAAATATTTGTAACGAATGGTGTTCAGGAGTGATTCAGCCTCTTTCCGAGGCATGTCTTCTGTGCATACATTTGTTGCTTTGTTGAAGAGGCACCGCAGAGTATTTACCTCCCTAAAAGTGTAAAGTGTTGGCTCACCACGGTGTCTGAATGGTGTCACGGTTTCCGGTGAACGTGCAATAATGAACAGAGTAGCTTTCGATTGTTGCAAGTAGTCTATGAGTCCAATACGAGTATGGCAAGAGCAAACACACACACATGGAGGTGGATGCGATCCTCTCCAGGCCATTTGTTGCGTGACACGTAAGCCTTGACCACCCATTCAAAGGTCAGATAAACGGTTTCCTAATTTTACACCGAAGTCCATTGAGCATCCAGACGATATCCATGCCAAGCTGACAGTGACATTTACGCAATGGGCTCACTAACTGCACCGATGGACATTCATTAGTAAGCCTTGTAGCTTCAGAGTGTAAACATAACGGAGAGCAATCATCCGCCGTAGGGCGCCTGTCCCAAGACATCTATCCTTGGTATCTCTAGGAGTACTTCTTTCAGACTGATGAAACGGAAACTTCGTTTAAGATTTAGTAACCTACCTGTTTGTTGGACACTTCACCGCGATAATGCTTGACTCCACATTCGAACGAGAACCGGAAGGTAAGGTAATGACTTGTGTGCGGCATCAATAGAAATCCTACTTTTGAGATGACCTGACTTGAAATGCGATAATGGAATGGTTCCTGCCTGTGGTCAGCAAACGGTTCCCCCACACTAATCACCCTGCATCGTCTGGTTCCCGTGCTGTAAAAAGGGAACGAGGCGTGGCCCGAAGAAGGCCGAGTCAACTTTTGGTCTAAGCTCTCCACGAACCCTATTATCCTCGCCTCAAGCGGAAGCACCACAGAGACGTGTCAAGACTCACGTGTGACCCTTTAGAGACACAACTAGAAACGGAACTAGACGACTATATCTGTTTTGTAGTCGTGAGGGCGCCATTAGCGAAGCACTTGATCTGTGCACACAATAGTCCTCTTTTTAAATGTATTTTCGAATTTTTAAACAAATATTCAAGTGATATGACTTACTGAAATCAACTACATTCGAATCCGTGCTTTTTACTTAGGTAGACGTCACTATCAACTCCCGGCTTCACGAGAATTTCAGTTTTATGTGATTGACCTTAAAAGATCGATCGTAGGGCCGGCCGCTAACTGAGAAGATGCGATTTTCCTGGTGTTTGGCGTTGATTTGCGGTCGTATACAGCAAACAGGTCATTGGCACTTCGAAAAATCTGAAGTAACATGGATAACTGTTCATAGCGTACGCATTTGTTCCATTCACGAGGTAAATCTTGGCTCTTCTCGCAACTGCTAGTCATAATCTGTAATTGTCTCCCCTCAGTTCACTGGAAGAATTGCCGGAAGATGAAGAACACAGAGGAGAGGAGGAAGAGGATGACGATGAACATTATTCGGCTTCCTATTTATCAGTTCCGTAAGTCTACGCAATCTAGTGAAGTTTTGTTCACCTCTGTTGTGTTTTGCTGAACGGTCGTGCAACTCTGTATCGGTCCCTTGGCTTCCTGCTCCGCCCAAGGTAGCTCTACACAGCCCTTTATGGATACAAAGGAAAATTATTACAACTGTATTTACAGGGTAGTCACAGAGTGTTCCACAGAGTCGTGCCAGGATTTCCGTGAGGGGGCGAGTAGCGTCGAGTTAAGGATGCTCGATCCGGATTGGCTGCCATTCTGGCCAATCAGGGCATGCCTTCTTTTTGTCCGTGTCCTGCACGTGACGCATTCGTCCAAATGATGTGATGTTCGGTTATTAGGGACGGCTGGCCTCCGGACAACCTCACAACGGCGGCCATCGTGTTAGCACTGATTCACCTACTGTTGTGCGCATAGGATGATCATTCATACTGTCCACCAAAGGGTTTCGCATGGGTACGCACATCAAGACGGCTCACATGGATTTGACCGACCATCTATCCGTGTGTTATGTGTGATCCGTTCGCTGAACATATGCTGCTGGATTGTTCTGCCAGACGGAACATGGTGGATACTGAAGCAAAGCCAAGATATGTCGTCGATCAGTTTCGATTTGCTACAGTGAAGTGCCAAGTCAGTATGGTATAATTTAAAATTAGCTGATTACCGAGTTAGCCATATCCATTATTCTACCAGAAACACTACGAATTGAACATGGTCAGAGATACATTACAACAAACTCGGTAGAGCGGCTGAGTTTGTGTATCCTGGTCACACTTTGTGCAATAATGGACCTTCAGGAGAAAGGTGCATGGAAGCGTTACAGTCAGAAAGCGAAGAGTAACCTGGATACGAAAGAGTGAGCTGACTGGATTTTTCGTCCACTCATTTAGACATGTGCTGTTTAATTACAAGTGCATGCAGTGTGACAAGGTCACTCAACCATCCAACGTCTTACATTGTCACAATGGTGGTTAGGCCAAAATCATGTACTACTGTTTTCTACCCGAGTGTATTTTGATGGTTAGCTGGTCCAAAATAGTCCACACTCGCTCCATGGTGAATACCGTGATCCTGGTCCATGACTGAACTGTACGAAGTACGCTTTAGTGCACCATCAGATCGCACCTTGATGTGAAATTCTATATGAAACTGTGTGGCTAGAGACACACCACTCGATCGCCTTTGGATTTGACGAAAACCGGAATAGGTTGTGACTGAAGTGTGCTACAGAAAATGCTGAATGACTGCAATTGCCTAGCTTTCATTCAATAACCGCAGTTGAATTGTGCATTCATTTGTGATTTAATCCTTATCAGCATTTGATTTCGGTTACTCACCATCATCGTTTAACTTTTTACTCCTCAAAAGGTACACCGAAGATCGGTTTCCGACAGGTGGGGATTCGGATGAAGAAGATGAGGCCAAAGGGAGGACTGGCGAGAATCCCGTACTCCTCCTCTGTCATTCTTGTATGGATCGAACTCGGACCGCTTGTCAGTCGATGTGGACGTGAGTATGAGTTTGTCGTAGCATTGGGAGAACAGGAGTGACTCGGGAATTTGTAGTGTGGTTTCTCACTGATTCAAATTGGGGTTACACTCCTTTGTTGCATTTGGTGTCTGAGTTCCGTCCGATCTCGGGCTAGCGAGAGACCCACACACACGAGTAAAATCTCGACTGAATTACGGATTTTCACCACAGTATTTATCTTGACTATTCCATCTACAACTACTTCAAACATACCGTCCCAAAGATCACCTATTTACTCACATTTATCAGTTGGTACTTTCCGGCTACTTATGCCTCATTTGAATATAAATTGGTTGGAAGTCCGCATAAAATATCCCATTGTTTTCTTCGGCACGTGACAAACGATAAACCGCAGCTCATCGTGTTTCTTGCTTTCGTTCCTACCTCCTCTGCACCCCACAGCAAATGTCAAACACGAAGCAGCAAACCTCGCACAACGAAGAAACCGAAACCAGCGTAAGTTTCACTTAGTGGATCCACAAACCATGATGCTAGACTGGTGATTTTCATCCTTACTGGTTAGACTGACGGTGGATAGTTTGTCCCTTTTTCGCACAGGTTCAGCTCCCTCCACCACAATAGCAATACGCAGAATGGTTCGACCTTGTATAAACAGTACACCCTGACGAGCTCAGCTGGATGCAGGATGGGAGGTCTCAGCTGAGCACATGGCCATTTCTTTTCGGGTCACTGATAACAGACTGATTTTGAGTGACAAGGCTGAAGGATTTTCTGCGGCGCACTGTCCGGAGACAATGACTTAAGAGTAGGATTAGTCGCTAGGTCGAACTGGCCCAACCCGAGAGCACAAGCAGTGAGAGAGAGGGTCGCATTCCCACTGTCCCGCGCATAGCAGATGCGTTTGGAGGCGCGTTGATCTGTTGGTAGGCTTCAACTGGATCAATCACCGGAGACCACAGCAAACAGCTGCACGACCGTGGTATGTAGAATCTAGGGTCAACCTTTTCCAACCAGCCCTTCGTGGGAAGCCAGCATAGCTGTTTCCACAGATGTGGATATGCTGGTTGTCTGGGGGAACGTCTTAATTTTCTCACTCTTATCGAAATGGACAAAAAGACTATGAACTACACGACACCATACCATACCGTATACTTGTAGTAGCTGCTTCGGTGTGTCAAGGAGTTTGCGCGTGTGCGTGTCCGTTCGGCGTTCCACCATCGATGTGGCGTGGGACCTGATTGGCTGATTGGGTGCGTGCCCGATTGATTTGCTCGCGTGAGCGTTCCAGGTTGACTGGATATGTGACTCAGTTGTTTGCATACCCGCCACGAAAGCGGACCAGTTGGCCGCGTGTACACACCACACCCGCGTCATTACTTACGTGTTTTTCTGACCTACTGTGAACTACAGTAATACTATACCATGCTATGCATGCTACTGTTCTCCCTGTCTATGGTTTTACAGTACAGCATCACAGATTAGCAAACGATGCGCAAAGTAATGCGTGCAAGTTGACCTAGACAAGGCCCTCTCTGATGACATTTCAGCAACATTTTTCGTTACTGTCCGCAAATCTTCGTTGGTGTAGTTCGCACCATATCAGTAAATGTCGGTATGGCGAATTAGAAAATACATTCAGACAAAAGGCATTCTCTGTACACACACATCTAATTCACAGTGTTGGTGAATTAAACAAGCGCTTAAAAGTACAACTGGAGTCCCTTCTCACCACTTTGTAAGCTGAAGTCAAGCGCATATGTTGAACAAAAATGAGTAAATGGGAGAATCTGGAAGCAGTCTCTTGCCACGCTACATCAAACCTCAGTGTAAGAGATATCCCCCTCCAACCGAAAGTGTAATCAAGCTAAAACTACGCAACTATTAAGACGCCATCGATCCACCGCGCAGGACTGACAGTGATGTCAGTTATGACCCCGTACTAAGAGATCCTTTTATGGAAGATACTATTTGATTTCGTAATTTTGAAAGTCACATTTTCCGACATATCCGAATCTAAGGTTAGCATGCGCAGATGGGCCCGTCATCCTGACCAGATCGGTCTTTGTTCAACGACACGTACATGTATCTCAGCCCCTTATTGAACACTGTTTGCACATAAACAGTTGACGTAAGCAGTAAGCCACACTTCGCCCGACAACTTCGGTTTGACCAATTGAATCTTTCTGAATTCGAACATCGGAAACCGTCAGATACACAACAACTCAGAAGGAGGGTGGAGATATTCGAATCACAACCACTATGCACAGCCGCTACGCTCCCCAATAGCACACTGATGATGTCACCTCGATTGGTGATGAAGCGTTTGCAATCAAATTGCCCGGCTCAGTGAACAAGCCAAAGACCATCGGATCAATATTTTGTTCGTTTACGGTGCCTAATTGATACAGCCCTTTAGAGCCTCCCTATGTATCCACGTTTCGACCACAGGGGGTGTATACGTAATTGCCGTCTTTCACCATCTTCGATTGGAAGGGTAGTCAACTGGAAAAGCTCACCAGCATCGTGATGGCGATGGGACCAGCTTGCCTATTGATGCACATGACCCATTTTGGAAAGTGAACCTGGGTGGACCAGCTTTTTGGCCTCCTCATCGTACCCGCAATCTATTTGGAGGTCTATTGGGACTCACGGTATACACACGGCACCGTCGCCCACCACTTTGTTGATAAGAGCATAACAGGATTGTCAAAGGACCTACCCTTGGTTCGACTCATGTGGCCGAATGCACAGCGCATGAAACCAACCCAGATGAAAGAACACCGAGAAGACCGTAGAACACAGTCTCTAGGGTTGGAAACTTTTTTACCCTGAACTGAAAGCCTCGACTTTCATGAATTCGCATGTCAACAGACACGAGGGGAACAGCATCGTCACTGTGCTGTGCTGAAGTACTTGAATCGGAACTTGGACTAGTATTTCTGCCAGTTTCACAACAGGAGTGTGATGAAAAGGGTACCTTCTTTCAATTTCTGTGTAAGCTGTGCTCAATCCAACCGCGTTAGCATATCACGTTGCAAAGTTGCAGTTTGAAACCCAGAGATCTCCAGCTATCCGCCAGCTTTCCTGTAGGTGGTACCGTCACTGCCGGTCGATTCAGCGTAGTTATATGTGGAATGCCATGATTTGCCCGACACTATCCGCTGACTTGCCTCTTTGTGTGTGTTTGTTCGAACCCGCCTTTGCTGGCTAATCGGGACTGAGTAGTATATACCGAAAGTGTGTGCTACTCGGATTCCGTTTCTACAGCAGCCCCACACAGACTCGTGTAGTTATGCCTGCCATTTTCTGGCGGGATGAAGTCTGTTTAGTTCGAAGGCCGCATCAACCAGAGTTCCAAGTTTATCCACGAATGTCATCAAGGCGATTTCGGTGAGGGTCTGTAAGCGGGTGTTCTCACATGTTTTGTATAGCTAGGTGAAATGGGAAACCCCAGGGAGTCATTGTACGAGTTCATTTGTCCTTGCGATTCGATTTGGATACGCTTGGTCGGGTCCAAGGAGTTCGCATACGCTTCATTGAAGAAAAAGTTGAATTGAGCTGAGGTCTACTCGTGGAGTGACATTTGAAAATGACCAGGTATTGATCACATCAATTCTCTTTCCAGTGACTTGGGGCTTGCACATAGTGGGCTCATGAAGGCTTACTTAAGGGGTCTTATTAACCGGCGTGGCAACAACTAGGTTGAGAAGCGATCTGGTCTAGTGGAGTATGACTTATGAAGGTAGGCCAATTGAAGGAAAGAGCTCCCTTCAGTTCGGAGCTCGACACAACAACCGACCGTCAACAGGCTATGGAATGGTTCAAGGTGGCCAGGATGGGACCAGGATATGACTCGGCGGTCTTTCTCGTTAGTCTGCAGCAGTGGGTGGATCGTACTTCGCCGGGAATGGGACGAGTATCTCGACAGCAGCTGCGGTCTGGTCAGTTCGTCGAAGGTGTGCAGTCGGCTCTGGGTATTCAGCTGCGGTCGGCCGGCCATACCGCGGATTTCAGTAAAATCTCACTTAGACCGTGGGTCTTACGGCGGCCCGTTTTAGAGACCTTGGAAGAGTCGGTGGGATTAGGGAGCCTCCATATTTTCGTCTATGTTTACAGTAAAAAGTTTGTATGTGTATTTGTCATGCATCTGTGCCCTGTGTATGGTGTCATAGGCGACTGAAATGGTGTACGTGGAACTTACATTCCGGGCGTGTGAGAACCGCTTGTTTGTCACGACAATGGTGGTCCTCAGTTTCGAGATCTGTCTGATACACCAACATTACTCGAAGTTGCATGTCACACACAGTAAGCTACGGAAGCTTCGGTACAGAGTATAAGAAATCGCCTTTTTGTCTGAAATTTACCGGGTTTCAATGGGACGGAATTAGGAGTTGAGGTCGTGAGATAAACAGGCGTATGTAAATCGGTGACGATGTGTCTCGAGGCCAGTAGACTGACAAGATAAGTGGTTTCAAGCACCCATCGCTCCACGTGGTGCATTTAGTAGTCGTGGGCCTGCGTAATGGAGGACTTCTGATGGTTCCATGCTTTGATTTTCGATCTACATTGCCAGTGGATTACAAACGGACTTCCACTGTTGCCATCATCGTGACGCGAAGGAGCAATCCTTCAGAACGCTTGTGCGGATCGTGTCCAGGTTACCACCACGGGTCTTCGTCGTACCGTTACTTGCGCCAAAACAAAATGGGTACCCTACTTCCGTTTACAACTTCCGGTGTTGACAGGATATTGGAGGACATGAAATAAGCGTCATCTTGAATGCAATTGGTCGACACATTTATCCCTTTGTCAGTGAAGCCAGAACAACATAGTAATTCAGAAGACGACGAGACAACTAGAGCGGTTTCGTTGTGCCTGAATAACATGGCCAGAGGACAAAAGCTGTGAAATTTCGGCAACTCGTTTCTACCTGTGCATCTGCACAAGGAAGATCACCAGTTTTACACCATTAATGGGGACGAAGACGGGAGAAAATCACATCGTGGAGGTTGCATTATTCTATGAGCTTGGCAGTGTTGTTCCAATAGCTTCATCAGTGCATAGCGGTGGTTCATGGTTCATCTTTGCTTCAGAGTGTATTGGTTGAGTAAGGTTGCTGGGTTCCACTATCCTCGAGGGTCGACCTTTGTTTATGATTGGTTGATTAGTTGGCTAGTCCAGCCGGTTGGTTGATCGGCTCGTGTCCTCATCGGTTGGCTTACCCCTTGACATCCCGGTGACCTTTGCTCCGTTGGCCTTGCCAAATACACTTTCACGTGATTCTTCTTTCCGTCCAAATTTTCTCGTTAAGCTGGCAATCCTTTGCTTGCAGTGGTGCGTAGATAACTGAATATATTGTACAGTGCCATGCCTCCAGAAACTTCTTCCTCGTTTTATGTCTCCACGTGTCACATACTTCACCTTTTCTAGACTGAATCGGTAGCTTTCTTGGCCTTTGTGTTATGTTTTGAATCCCTTTTCCGACTTTGTACTTTCTTTTCGAACCTGATATTCCTGCTTGATTTACGTACCACGCCACATGCATTGTTGGTGTTGGCATCGTTCGCATCGACAGGAAGGATAGGATTTCAGGGCTTCAAGCTATCATGCATAACACTTGATAGCTTTCAGTTTGTCACCGACAACTGGACACAATCCAAAGCGGGATTTGTCCCTGCTGTGTGCTTTGTGAGTGGGTATCTCTCCGCGCAGAAGCACAGAGTAACACCACTCATCAGAATCGGTTTTCCGTGGTAACCACGTGCAACCTCAGCAGCAGGGGTTATCGCCCACTTTTACCCTATTTTCTATCTTGAGAGTGTAACACTTTTCGGTGAAGCTACGTTTGACTCAACCTCCTGGTTTGATTTTCAGACCGTTGTGCTTTACTAAGAACGTCAACTGGTATGCTCTCATCAGGATTTGAGAACGATAGCTTTTGTACAGTCTTTTTATGCCCACCTTTCATCCACCATTGTTCCGTTTTATCAGGCAACCTACCACCTCCGAACCGACAGTATCCACTGCGTGAGTAACGTTCGTTTCGTTGTCAGTATGCGGATTAACAATACCGCGTTGTTTGCCAACAAGCAAACATCACAAGTATCGAGTTGTCTACAACCATCTGATAAGTGGAATATGTTTCCTATCAGATCCTGTCCACAGCAGCTTTCAATCCAGTTAGTTCGAAAGTACTGATATCGTGTTGAACGTTTAGTTGATCAGCTGTTGAGCACAGCCCATCCGCAGAATTAGACCAGACTCGAAAAACCAAATTAGTTTGCAAGTGAGTGTATATTCGCTAATTTCTTGTAATTTGGTTTCAAGTAGAGCATAAGGTTGACGGAAACCCGGGGACTGTGCCTACCTGATGAGCCCCAAGAATGGCGAAACTGGTCGTGGGCTGTCGACGGATTTTCAGCAAACTTATTAGTAGTACATTACATGGACTATGTTTCATTCACCGGCTTTTGGTAGGAGATTGGTAAACTAGTTGCGTGGATCAGCCATGAAACCAAGTCACATACCGAGTTGACACATTGTCGTCGGTTTTAGTTTCGATGTGACATTATCTGTGTGTCGTCCAGACATGGTGCGAATCGGGCTGAGCATAGATTGGTGTGTGTGTGTGTGTGTGTGTGGGTGTGACATGTGCTGCCTCGTACGCAGGCTATGCCTGGCTTCTCTCTGAGGGGTTCGCTTCTGACCGGTTGACGATCACTCAGTCTCTATTGATCTCATCCGTTAGTCGGTTCTCGAATACGTTCTGCCTTTAATCTCTCTGGGTTCCGCGCCGTAAGCTTTGCTGATTTGTCTGCGGAGGGCTTGCCTCTTGGTCCGGTATTCTTCTCTATTTGAGTCGTACGCAGGCTAAATTCATACCAGAATATTGTGCGCCCAAAAGTTTCCTGTCTCATGTCCCAGCGTGCAAAGTTTTTCACGTCTTCTCGACTGAATGTCTGCCCTTATTGGTCTCCATAAATGACGATTAATGACATGTCTTGCAAATGTCCGCATTAAGTTTGCTCAAAATAAAACTTGTTGAAGTTGATTTTATGTATCATGGCATTACGGTTGGTTTTTTCATCTTCTATCTGAAGATTAGTTTCCACATAGCTTGTTGGCCACCAGGATTTATTTCAAATGTACTTTCCCCGCCGTTAGTCTATACATATTCTCGACCTTTTATTGTTCTGGCAGGCTTTGTCGAGATATATTGTTGTCATACTTTGATATCCTGCTTTTGAGCAACTGTGTTCCCCTTGTGAGTTTGTAGACTGTCCCCGTTCTGATCGATGGCCTTTGTAGTCCATTGAAGTGTTGCTATCGCCCTCCAGCTTCCGAACGTCAGCTCCAAACTGTGAATCCACTGCGCAACGACATCTTCATCAAGAAGAAATGGTATTGACTGCTTAGTCGTTGTGTGCAGAGCTTGCAAAAGTTCCATCACCAATCGAGATGACTTCGTCAGTGAGATGCGGTTGGCGATAAAAGATTTGTAGTTTAAACAGACCAACAACACAGGGTTCAAGTAGAACATTAGGTTGACGGAAACTCGGGGAACGCGCCTACCTGATGAGCCCCAAGAAGGGCGAAACTGGTCGTGGGCTGTCGAAGAGTTTTCAGCAACCTTTATGAAAATAGCTATCTGTTTGTTCCACAACATTGTCAATTCGTATTGACTGCCCAGTGCCACACTCGAAGAAGAGTAATTCCAATCTATGACTGAAATGGATGATATAGCATAGTACTCGGACGTACGTATAAAAAACTCGACTGCCGTGTGGAACACGTGTGAAACAGCAGTGCAGTGTTTCGGAGATTCTTAGTGGTCGACCGAGTCTCCTCTCCGAAGTGGATCTTGATTGATACAAACTCATCCCATTGGTATTTTTTGATCTGATTTTCTGTGTTTCAAGTCGGTTCTGGTTCGCCCGGATCGCCAGTGATTATTCACCCAGCAACAAATAGAGCATGTGGACCTGGCACAAAATGGTCTCCTGGTTGTCTGTCACTCACTCTTGTTCTGTTTTGCTTTTCTGTTTGCAACAGACAACCTGTCACAAATGAACCATTACCAACCACTGCGTAAGCTATGGTTTTTATGTTTTATTTCGGGTGGAACCATAAACGATTACTGGATGGAGACCAGTACCCAGTCAGGCTTAGATTGACTCACGATTCATGTCCTGTTCACGGCAATCTTCAAGTCCATTGAACATGGGCTGACAGTTATCTTGAAAAAACAGCGGACAGTGTAACGCATTTTGAGCATTCATTTGATCGGTTGTTTGTGAAATTCTCTGGTCATAAGTCTAGCACGACAGTGAAAAACGATTTGTAAGATACAAGCTCCATTCACGCTCTTTAGGGACTGACTACGAGGCGTTGTCAGTCATCCGGGGTTGGGCGACAGGTGCCTTTGTGCAGGAGATTCAAAGGTCAACCTTATTTGGTTAAAAGTTTTCAGGATAACATCAGATCATTCAGCGTGATCATTCTTGTGAAATCACCGGTTGCATCAATGAGATTATCAACCGGTGACAATCAGTCGAAAAGTCATACCTCAAAATGAACTGTAAAATCCCGCCAGTAGAGGTTTCAGTCAAGATAAACAAGACGAAAATGGGCAATCTCGGTCGAGGAATTATTAGTGCACAGGTGATGATAGCCATAATACAAATCAGAAGGTGTATGCAGTAATAAAAGTTGTTAGTATGGTTGACAGTGTTCGGTTGCAACACGTATAAAAATAAATACAATGCAAAATGGGAGCAAGTCAAAAAAGGAACTTATCGTCTGTGAGAGTTCCTTGATGAAAGTCCGGACGGCGGGAACGTGTTTTTCTCCGCAGTGCGACTGCTACACGTATTCCACAGTTGTCCAGGTACTTGTGGAGAGGTTGACTTCCTGCTCTCTGCGCGCGCGCGAGTCTGTGTGCTGACTGTGTTCGGTTTCCCTATATGTTAGTCCGTTTGCGTGTACGTGGGTGTGTCAGCACGTGAGTTGTTGCTACGCTCACTAGACGATGCAAACAATCGATGTCTGATGAGTCAGCTTAATGTGACGTGTTTGTGAGTATAAAAAAGACAAGTCTCGTCATCCGGTGAGCGACTGTGAGCTGAACAGTCAAGTATATGGGTGACCGGGTAGCTACAGGCTCTTTTCAGGAAAGTCCAATACTTGATCGAGACTGGCAAGGAATTCTGTTTTAGGCTACCCCGTGAGAGCGTTCTGTTCTCCGTTGGATGACTTTAACACTGGGTTCATTTTCATCAACATCTCTCGAAGACAAACAATTGAATTTTGGTGAGTTCTAGTCAGTGTCTTTTTGCAACTCTCAACCCCACTTTGGCATCCCCTTCCAGCCCTGTTGTAGAGGAAGTCATGCCACCTTCGACAAAGAGGTAAGTCATCTTTGTGAGATGAATGGCTCATGCACACAGTTTACCCACCACGACCTTTACGCGAAGACGCTCTACAGAAGGAGAGTTTTTGAGGAGCCATCCACAGAAGTTCCAGGGATATTCCCAAACACACTACCGATGATCCCCAAGAAGAATGAAACAGCTGTACAAGTGTTTTAAGGCACAACAGAGTTGCCGATGAAACAGTTGTACAAGTGTTTTAAGGCACAACAGAGTTCAAAAGAGTCTATTGGGAAGTGCGGGGCTAAGAGGTCCTACCAACCACGGAGTTAAGGTTATTTTGACTTATGCATGTGAAGCACCGGTTCCTTGTTTGTGGATTTTCGGAGATCCTTTCGTTTGTGGTGTTTTGTCTCGATCGGTTTGATTTATCTGCACCGTACCCTTAAAAATGGTTGAAGCTGAATCAGAAGCTTCTTTTTTTGTCAGATTTTCACCTGCCGTCGAATCCTGTTATGTCGGAAAGTGCGGAACGCTAATTTTCGGAGTGCAATTCTTTTGTCTGGTTTCCTGGACACCAGTGGCTTTATTCTTCCAAGTTGCTTGATCGTTTGACAGTCTTTGGACGGTAGACAACCATTCTGTCCAACTGTGGAAGACAACAAGTCTTCCGAGATGTCAGCCGGCTTTGTTCGCTGGCACCCAGCCTTGTCAACGTCCATAACAGCTAGATCTTTGCACTGGTCATACCAGTTCCGAATTGGACTTGTATGTGTAGTTAACTGACCTTTTTCGGTGCAATTCTGAGGATAAAACTTCCGTTGGAACGAATTCCATAGACATGCTTCCCAAGCTAATTAGTGGACACTGGAAATGTTAAGAATAGTTGAAATGTTTTTCTCTGGGTTCGCAAATTTTCGAGAGAAAATGATAGACTGGAAAATGGGAAGAATCACTGTCACGTGATCAGTCACTGGTGGGGTACGTGCATAAATTATAGGGTTGCGGTGACGATCAGCCGAACGACGTCATAGATGGTCTTTGTATCATAGCGAGGCCAAGTTTACACTCGAATACAGCAGTAAAGAATGGACAATACGTTTCAAACACCTACGTCGTCATGTACGACGTCACCGAGGATTGGGGCAATGTCGAATGCTCCGACTGGCCAAGCTGGAAAAAAGGCAGAAGAAACTCATCAGTGATGTCATATTTTTCTGAAGGTCATTGAGAAGACGAGGGAAACATGTAGAAAGAAAAAACAACTTACATTTTACAACTCAGTAAATAGGCCATCGATGGGGGATTTGTTGAAGATGTTGTCTGTGAAATAATGTCCAAGAGTTTTCAGCAACCTTGTGAGTAGTTTCCTTCATGAAAATATACTGCGATATGTCATGCGATATATCGAATATCAGGCCAACTTAATCATGAGGCGGCCTGTCTGCAGCACATTCAGAATATCATAAACGAGAGATTCAGTTGAGTCCCTCGTGAAAACCAAACTGATTTGCAAATGAGTGTATTTCTCGAAAACAGTGCAATTTGGGTTCAAGTAGAACATATGGTTGACGGAAGCTCGGGGCCTGCGCCTACCTGGTGAGCCCCAAGAAGGGCGAAACCGGTCGTGAGCTGTCGAAGAGTTTTCAACAACCTTGTGGGTAGTTTCCTTCATGAAAATGTTAAAGAATTTTTAGTTGTTGATTTGGCTAGGACAGTTAGTTGAGCTCGGAAGAGACGATTTCCCACGGAATGGGGAAGTAACGAAGGGAATTCATCGCGTGAGGCTGAAGAACTGTGTAGAACTTGTGTGTGATGTGTTGAGTTCCAATTCGAATTTCTCAAATCAACCAACCATACCACTTAAATGCCAGCTTGTCCTACTGAGATGATTCAGACACGTTCAGCTTCTGCTTGCGAAATAAGGATCAACGGGTTGACTTGAAGGACAGATGAACAGCGCTCAGATTTAAGAACGGGTGGGGACCAATGCTAAGCGGTACTGAGCTAATTCTCAGTTGTACCGCCATAAACTCAACAAATCAACTAACTAATTACAACACATCTTGAACAGGAACCTAACTACGCCGAAGGTTCGGACATTAGTGTGTGGGGAACTGACCTAACCCCTGGCTTAGCAGAAGTCTGTCGCCTGCTGAACACATGCAAAAGCTGGTCAACTTGTAATCAGTCTGTTGTCATCAGCGTCACTGTGAAAACGAAACCTTGATGTCATCGAGATTCCCAAAACGTACTGGTTTGAATGGAAGACGAGGAAGAAGAAACGCAAGAAATTGGACAATCTAGGATAGACACACACACACACACACACACACAAACATTAGTCCGAAAGCTTCCAGGTTTGTTTTGACCACCAACAGCCAGACAAATTTGGGGTAGTTGAACGTTCAAAACCCACACTGTGTGTGTGTGTGTGTGTAAAAGCCGGTCCGGTGGCCCGAATCACTCATGGACTGCACCCGTGGTACACCTGTTAGCGCAACTGCGATGATAGCCATAACGTAATTCAGAGCAGTTTTTAGCATGGCTGACAGTGGTGGGTTGCAACACGTATAAAAATAAAAACAATGCGAAATGAGAGCAAGTCAAAAAACGAACAACTTATCGTCGGTGAGAGTTCCTTGGAGAAAGTGCGGACGGCTGGAACGTGTTTTCTCCGCAGTTTGGCTGCTACACATATTCCATAGTTGTCCGGGGACTTGGCTGACTCCTTG